AGCGATTTTCAAAAGAAAGTTAGGTCAGCCATCCGAAGCGGCACATGCTGAGCAAGTTTGGAGACAAGTTTGGAGACAAGTTTGGAGACAGCTTGGACATTTCTATGAGTTTCTCCTCATGACGAGGGAAGAAGCAGGCGGTAGATGTCGATCATCGCAAGGACCGCATCAAGCTTCTACAGTTGTTCAGCATTATGAAATGAGCGCACATCTTGTTCGAATTACTCATGACGAGCAGGATCCACATCCAAGCTAATTTCCAAGCTGATCAAACTAGCCTACGGTAGCACGTGTGCGAACTCATTGTGAACGATCCGCGTGTTACAATGAGTGAGGCAACACCAGCTTTTTGTACACACTGTCCATGTAAAGGCGCACTGCATGCTTGTTCACAGCCAAGGATTGCTTTATACATATATGTCTATATAAAGGCCTGTGCTGATGTTTGGATGATTCTGAAGCATGCAGCATTCTCGAGCGACCCCACATCAGTTTTTGATGCACGAATGAGCTTGCAGCTCTGGCCAGGCGCAGCATAGCCATAGGCGATGGAATCAGGGGCGGATTTGGCATGGGCTGCGGCAGCATCGCAAGTGAACTCATCACAAGGTGTACCGCGCTCGCACATGTTCGCACGGAACGGCGGTCCAACTGGTTTGCAATTGCTGATTCAATTGAAGCAACATTGCATTGAGATATCAGCCATCCTTTGTCGACACATTCCGCAATTTGCTGACCGCGGGACAGCTACCAGTGGCTGTGCAACTCCGCGGACATCGGCACAGTCGCAACATGTATAGTTCAATATATTTTGCGGAGGTCTGCAGCACCCGAATGTCCCCTCTGCAAGCTTCGATGCTGCGGTCTTTTGGCCAAACCGCATTCATTGATCATAGGCTTTGCGTTCGCAAATCATGACTAGCAAGAGTATTGGTTGAGCTTCTGTCACTACTGCGGACGATGCTCCCCTTCTTCTGGAACGGATACACAGCCTTGCTTCAGCCTGACAATGACCATTGCACGACGCCTCATTCCGGGAAGTGTCTGACTCCTTCGCTTTCCCATGATTTTTTCGCGTCAAAACTGCTCGCTGCAAAGCTCCCCTGTCTCTTTGCGGCCAGGTGGGGCTCAGAGGCTGAGGCGGTGAGTGAGGGGATGTTCGCTCCCTCGGAGGCCGGGCGCATGGCACTGAAGGCCTAAGTGCTCTAAAGGCCAATTTCAAACGGATCCTTTTTGCGGATGCGTGCGAGCTCAAACACCTCAAAGCACCATACTATAGATGTTCCCAATATGGCAATGCTTGCCAACTACACGCAGCCTTTGAGGAATTTTGCCTTACCTCAAATCGAGTATATAATGAATTACCAATTCCGGCGCAACGGATCAACTATGACAACAATACAAAGGAAACACGCACCAAGCTGTGACCACCCGCGATTGATATTATCATTCAAGCTTGGCCATTGAAGTTGAGATCCAATCCTGCAGGTATTGTCAAGGACGACACATGTTCAGGACACATTCTCAAATTCACTCGCTTACCTTTGGTGGCAATGGGGGCATGTCTGAAGATTATGGACGTGCGTCTTGGTGGTTCTCACGTGAAACTAACCATTGGCAAGAGCACAGAGCCTGTCACGAGACCATGGGGTCCCACTTGGCATCCAGGAAGACCTGACCATTGAAGACATAGAGCAGGAAGTGGCCGGAGTCAACGTCCGCAGCTCATAAGAACCAATTCGCTTGCGCTCAATTGGCCCACGATTCTTCGGAGGGTTGCTTTTCCGGAGGCTTGCTAGGAGCTGGCGAGGGTGGGAGGGTGTGAGCGTAAGATGGAGGGGGAGGGGGCTCAATTTGTGTCCCTTTTGGACGGATCGCAAGTGGGACCCCTCCTCAGCAATGCGATTGTGCTTGTCAGTTCAGCCTGTTCATTGGAATAAGTCATGAGGAGTGATTAGTTGCACTGTCAGGAAGGTGCAACTGCGAGGAATATGGGATACCAATCGAGCGAGGGTAAGTTTGCGCACGCACTGATTAGGAGTCTTCGCTCAGGCTTGCCCCCAGGTGCAGCTGAATGGGAAGGCCTGGCGATTTTAGTCGCCCTTGTCACCTCCCTTTCAGAATCGAATCGCTTCGCAGAATTGGCTCCATATGTACAAGTTAGCCTTCATTTCGATGATTCCAAGGCGCACTGCCAAGTGCTTGTTTGCCAGTTCTTCTTCTGCTCAAAGCGTGGGCCCTTTGGTTGCCACAAGGCATTTAGAGCCAACTCAACCGAAATCTTCCGCGCCTTGCGGCATTCTGTTGGTGGAACTGCCTCGCAGCCCACAGGGCGGGATTCTGCAGAAGCCGTCGTGCCGCGAGGAGGCCCGGGAGCAGGGACGTTCAGGATGAAAGGAAGGGAGTGACTCGGGAAAGTTGCGGTGGAGTCTTTGGAAGGGACGGTGCTGGCAACTTGACATTTGGCTTGAACACATACCCCGTGTTGGCAGGGGGGAGATTCATTGACCTCCAGGCCTCAAAACTGCCTCACCAGACATGCCTGACCTTCAGGCTTGCGTATGCCTCCTTGTGGCGGAATCTGCACCTCGCGACGGCTTCGGACACCTGGCCTTCTGTGCCCTCTCTTGTGTTGTTCTGCACGTTTTTGGTTCGCTGTGCTGTATGTCCTGACACTTTCCGAGTCTGAAAAATTCCAGGCTGTTGCTCTGTTCGCTTCGCGGCCCTTCCCTGAACTGCATCATTGCATGCGCTTGTCTTGCCACACATGTGGAAACTGTTTTCAGGTTTCTTCCAATGCAAAGTTGCAACTTTCTGGCCCTGGAGAGCAAGCGGGCTTGAGGGGTTTGAAAGCTGCGCGTCCGTGGTTCATTTTCATTTTTTGACTGGCTGAAGCAATGTTTTCAGGGGATCGAATAAGCACATGTCCCCACACATGCAAGACCCTCATATCAGCACCACGCATTCCTCCTTTGCTCCCTGTCAAGCCAGCCCGATACAGGATGAGGCGAGCTTTGTGAGCGACGTGGTGTCTGTTTCCTCGCCGTAGCGGAGAGAGGCGAGGCTGCTGGCCAGAAAGCATGATCGCCCACCGAGCTTTTTATTTTTACTGCACTGGATGCAACGAAAAGCAGGTACCAACTGACTTGAACGATGAGCCACAGGGCTGTTTGTAGTTGAGTATGTGTCGGAAGCCGTGGCACAGTTTAGATAGTGTTTGTACTATTAGCACTATTTGCTTGTGTGTTACTTTGCTGCATGCATTGAAACTGTTTGCTTGCACGTTTCAGTTTTGGCAGCAGAAAATCATGCTTGAAATTATACATGCTTGTGTGTTACACTTTGGCATCAGACAGTGATATTGTTTGATTTGTTTGCCTTTGTGCTAGCAGCAGATGAGCACTAGCTGAATCGGTTGTAGAGCTTGATATTCTGATCAAACTCCCATTGCGGTGGTGATGCTGAGGCAAAGTGAGATGGCCGTGTACATACGAAAGCAACCATGCGCCCTGAGCACGGTGCTGAATTCCAACAATCCACCAGCTGAACATTTGGAGGGCGAGAGTGGCCTGCGCCTGAACTGACGGGATGTCATTATTTCTCACTCGGGCTGAAGGGCAACTGCCAATCAAGTCCAGTCTTCGGCGAATCAGTGCCTCTGCCGCCTCCCCAAAAAAGAAGCGACATGCGCCCAGCCGTGAAAACTACTCGTAGCTAAGGGCTTCCGCCAAGCGGAGGCCAGGCAGCCAGCACACAAAAGCGGGCTGGGCGTGGGTCGAAGAGGCTTCCGGGCTACAGCTAAGGGGAGATCGAACGAGCTGATTTTCGTCGGCAGGCTTGGGGGACTTGTACACTTTGGGGTGGCTTTAGGTGCTTGAGCTCGATTGGCTTAATGGTGCTCTAGAACAGTCTTATATAGGTGGTCTATTTGTTAAAGAAGAAGGAAAGGCAAAGATCCTCGTATCATCCTAACAGGAAGACTTAGTGCACACAACTGAGGCTTTTCGAAAACGCAGGGTATCAAGTTTCTGTGGAGAAACTATTCTTGAAATTTGCCAGAATGCTCGGGAACCGATACTACTTTTTCGTGCTTTACCAAGTACGCGTGACACTGCACTATCAATGAAGCCCAAATGGAGCAATCCTCACAGAGATTTGTTCATCGCTTTTTGGCTGTTTGATGATTCCTGTGCTGGATTGATGCACCCATTCGCTTTGTTTTTTCTGTTTCTTTTTGTTGCTTTAGGCATATTTGCCATCCGATCACTGCGCTGGTGCCATTTTCCCATTTTGATGACGGCAGTCACCACCCATGCTTCTTGGCCAGTTTGCTGGCTCGCCAACTGACATAGCGTGTTTGTTCAGATGTCTCCCTTCATACTCTGGCTTCTCGGCTTAGCGTCAATCCTTTTGAACTTCTTCCCACCCTTAAATCGATCAACCCTGTCAATAGCCGCTGTTTGGCGACCCTGTTTCAGAGAGCTTGTAACAGGGGCCTGTGCAATGAGTGAGCCAACAAGCAGCGGGTGACCCGATTGCTGCTAAATTCGGGGAAAGAATTGACCTTACTTTGGACTTCAGAAGTTCCGTGGCAAATGCTGCCTGTAGATTTGAGTCGGGGGCTGTGGCATGGAGCGCTGCGTTCGGAGCTTTCGATTTCATCTCGGCTGGTCACTGATGGTAGTTGAAGGACAGACATATGCAGCTGGAAGAGCAGAACACTTTCAGAACCATGTAGACTTTAAACCTGCACACTGAGCGTAGCTTGTACACACCCAGCTCTCAGGCAAGAACTCACAGCGAATCTTGCATCGGTTCCTCGCAAAACGTCAGGGCTTGAGCGATGTATTAATTAACGATACAAGATTCCTATCTTGAGCAAGTCATAAAGCCAACAGGTTGGAAGCCAAAGGCAGCTTACTCAAGGAGTTTGCACCTTGAAGTCAGCTTCCGTTTGTGGCTGGAACATCTGGGTGGGCAGAAGGCCCAGCGAAAGGCCCATGGATGTGGTGCCAAGCTCTGCCGGGCCCCCAGCGATGGGTTTTCAGGGAGCTTGGGTTGGGGCAAGGACTGGCTCCTTTGGTTTGGTGTTTTGGATGAGCTTAGACACGGTTTGGAAAGTTGTTGGGCCGGGTTAATCAAGATTGTAATATGGCTCGGAAGAATCCTGGCTTAGTTCAGATGCCGCAGAAATCATGTTGGAGCTACGTTCGCTCTACCCTTCAAAGGGCAAACATTGAATCACAGGTGCAAAGGGAATTTTGGTCATTTAGTGCTGTTTTTAATGAAGGGCAACACGCAGTCTCACTACTTGAGCGGCTCATATTTTCCCAAAGCAAGCGCCCTTCTCCTGCCCGTTTGGAGACGAGCCGAAGAACACAGGGGCCACAAGACAAAGACCTCATGGAATATATGCCCTCAGGAACGTCAACTTTTAAGAGGAAATGGCGAATCGAGTTTTAAGTGCAAATGTGATGGGACTAGCATGGCTATACAAAGTGGGAGATATGACAGAGCCAGGATGGGTTGAAATGAGCAGCCTCATTCTAACTCTGGGTTGACAAGGGTCTGAAAGGAGTTCCTGCGGGTATTGTCAGTGTGGGTTGGGTGAACTAGGTGACTTGGAAAACCACAGATTTGCCATGATCCAACAAGAAGCGTTCTTGCTGTTCATTGCTAAATTGATGGATGGTGCTATCTTCCGTCTGGGCACAGGGCGGACAACTATATGTTAGGTTTGGACGAAACTGGCGTGCGTGTAGCAAGGGCGGCCATCCCATCGACTGGAGGTCTTATATAACATGTTTCAAGTGATGGATGCCTCCGCCCTGTTGCACGGAAAGTTGAGCAGTCGTCCGAGGGCGTTTTATCTCTGCTGGGGAGGCACAGTTTGATGTGGCCAGCAGAACTATTTGACTCGTCGTAAAGGAAGGTCCAAGTATCTACCTGGTGAGCACTTGGGGGTTGACAAGGGATCTTTCTGGCTCAACGTCCTGCTGCAAACGATGCATGTTGAGAACAGCGAAAGTGACGAGTGAGCTGTCCCGAGCCAGTGTGTCGAGAGCTTCCAAGTTTTTTCAGGCAAGGCACTCTTGCGGCTGGAGAGGGTACCCTCATGCAAAAGGGATTTGCTCGTTAGGGCTCACTCTATGCAAGAGTCCAGTCGTTTGAAGGATTCTTTCAGCATGCGTGCCAGCGCGCGCGACGTCCGACTTCAGGATGGGGCCAACAACTTGGCCAACGCCCCGTCTTCCAATGGCAACGGCGACAGCCCAGCGATCTCCGAAGCCAAGGAATCAGGAAGTATGCAGTCGTTTCTGCAGACGCTGCGAAGGACCTTTGGCAGTCGGTGCTTTGGCCGAAAGCAAAACACAAACATGTAGGGCAGTTGTACGTGGAAAGGGATGATTGCCATCGATTGACCCACAATGCCTCAAAGTCATGGCTGCTGTGTCAAGGTTTCTCTGCTACCTTGTGCTCAACTACATGTTTCTGAAGGGCATGGTCTTCACGATGCTGCAGCCGCTCATCATTCAGCGACGGTCGTGAAGCCATCCTTTGCTTTTGGTCCAACGGAAGCCCATAGTCTCCAGAATCCAGCATGCGAGGGGAGAACTTGGTTGCTGAGTCGATTATTTTGGCAGAAAATCAAGCTGTTCAAAAGTAGAGCGGGCAAGCCGCCCCCCCCCCCCCCGCCCCCCGCCCCCCGCCGATTCAGCCTAGGACTTCCATGCTGCCGTACTTCCAGAAAATGGGCGTGAAGGCACTGCCTCTAGCTTCATGCGTTCGCAGAACTCCCGCTATGTTGCGAGTGAGCAACATCACAAACAATTTCAACATTGTGCTGCATTCCTTGGATGCTCAACACTTGCAACACTGAAATCAGCACTGGTGCACAGTTTTCTCTTTTGTTCGTTTGTGCCGCTGGCGGTCGGCCGGCCGGCCATTGGTAAGTTGTTCAGAGGGAGGCAAGCCGGGACATGAGGCTCTGAACCCCGTGGTCAAGGGTTTGGGCTAATTCAAGCACGAGATATGAAGGTTACCCTTGGGAGTGCGGGAGATAACAGGAGGCGACCAGCAAAACACACCACCAAGTGGATTCAACCGCGCAAGTCCCCAGTCGAAAGAACTTGCGCAATGGCCGGACTTCGGTAGCCCCAGGCAAAGGAGCCATGTGCGAACATAGAAACACGTCCCAGCCGGAAAAGCAAAGAAGCGACAAGGTGAGGCCTTAACTCATTTGCCTTCTCCTCTAACAAGACTCCCGCACTCGGCAGGGTTCCGGGCACGTTCACCTTAGGCCAAAAACAACTAGGAACGACCCGCGTCCGGATCTCTGAGGGTGTGGAGTTTCAGCTGGCCTCGGTGGTGGCCATGATCCCCTGGTCCATGCAGCCCGGCAATGCAGTTCTTTCCTCACGCCTGCCTGTCAGTATATGCCGGCACATGTCAGTGTCAACACTAAAATGGCAGCTCCGCGCTATCGCATTGGCAGTTTCATGTCATCCTAGTTGCATGTCACTAGTTTCACACATCTTTTGTCATGACATGCGCTCTCTTCGGAGGGACTGCGCCGACTCAGCACTTTGAAGCGATGACTATGAGCGGCATGTACCATGGTGTCATGAAAATACACAGCCTCCTTGTGTGATGCAGAGTCACGTCACGACGCATGATGAAATGTCACATTATACCACCACACATATCACATGATCTCTCGCAAGCAAAAGTAGATTCAAATAATGCCATGTCCCACGTGCGGTTGCATACATAATCTACGTGAACTGAATATCCTACGCCATCTCTTACATATGGCAAATCGTTCTGCCCTTCTCTTGCTTCCGTGCTCGAGAGTCACCGTGTGACCACCTGAGTTTGACTTGCTCACAGCCGTGCCATGACCAAGGAAAGGGTTCATCGGTGTGCTGAGCGACATCGTGCCAATAGGACTGTGCCGGAGTGTGAGTTTTCATGAAATGCAAAGGGAACAGCTAAACCGCCTCCTGTCGAAAGCCTCGCGTTGCTTGCCCGGAAGTCCTCGTGGTGCCAAGGCTTGGGAGGCTTGCGTAGCTCATTGTGCGCGCCGGTTGTTTCTTATGTTCATGGGCTCGCAGTGCAGAGATGAGAAGATGTGGAGGCAGAAACACACTTTTCAAAGCGGAGTGGGTCAGGCTAGGAAAAGAGTTTGTCTGACTTTAGCCTCGGGCACCCTATGCCATGGCGAAAGCAAAAGCACGGCGGGTGCCGTACAACACATACGTGCAGCGGGAACGGCAAAAGAAGTACTATGAGCGGCACAAGACACATGCTCGCTTCAAGCGCTTGCGGCGCTACGAGGAGAAACAGGCGCCTGCTGCTCCCTTGTTGGAGAGGCTGCTGACGGAGGGCGCGGATGCAGTGGATGCCGACTACGAACAACGTCTCGAGCTCAGCTACGGCAGCAAGACCAGCGAACCCGAGGAAGGTCGCAAGACCCGCAAGCGCAAGAGGCAGAGACACGTGGAGCTCGAAAAGCCAGCAGAAGCCCCACCAGTTCCACGTCAAGAAGCCGCGAAGAAGCGATCAAGCTCGCAGAAGGGCCAGCAAGCAACTCGCTTTCAGAGGGAGCAGAGAGCCTATGAGGAGGCTCAAGCAGCCAAAGCTGCTGCCAGACAGCAGCAAGAGGAGGAGAAGCGGGAACGGAAGCGTAAAAGAAAACAGTTTGCCAAGGACCGTGCCATTGCTGGCAAGTTGCGGTCCAAGCGAAACGTGAAGGGCCAGCCCTCCATGCAAAGCATGCTCGAGCTCATCACCTCCAAGCTGGGCGTGGCATCGTCCTCGAAGACCCGTTTGCCTCAGAATGCCACACGCGAACAGCGGAAGAGGTGACGTATCCTGAAAAAAGGAGAGCGCGTCAGGCGGGGGACTGGGCCTTCTTTTGCAACAGAGCAGGGGCATGCACCGCATCGTAAAACCTCAGGGTCCAAATTTTATCCCCCACAGACAAACAGGATTGAATGACTTGCACAGCAGAACATGTTGGGAAACGCAATGGATTAACTGAAGGATCTCCCAGGCATTGCAACGCCAGAATTTCCGCCTATTCAGGCCGGATGAGAGCATTTTAGACGGCATATGGGACCTCGGCCGTGGGAACCATCCCCTCTCGGCGTGTGCTGAAAGTTGCCTGAGACCTTGGAGCATCTTGGAAGGTCTGGGACAGTTTTGTGGTCGCGTCCTTTGTGAACTGTTTTTAGGAAGTGTCCCGCAGGACGCTTCCACAAGCGAGGCTACCTTCTGCTCTCTGCCATGCTGGGTGGTTTCGGCGTCTGCGTGCTGGGCTTGTGGCGTCCGGGCGAAGGCAGGCACAGCAAAAGTGAGATGGGCGGCATGTCAGGAGAGCTCTGCGGCTGGATAAAAGCAGAGGAGTTGTTCAGGAAGGTCAGCTAGCTACTCAGCTGAACACACAAGGACGTTGTCAGGAGTTGGAATCACACAGCTATAGATTGTCGGACGATTCAGGACCGACGAGGGAATCTCGCTCCTGACATGTTTCTAGTTTAAGGAATATCACTGAGCACCGCGGGACGAGGATAAGCTTGGGATAGGGTCGATTCGGGCCGATTCGTGTCGATTCGGTGCAGGCCACTTGTGGACCGCCGCCGCGCTCTTCGGTTGCGCCTTCACCTTCCTGGCCACCTTCGACTTGCTCTGCGAGGGCAAGTACTCGGAGATGATGCGCGAGGAAAAGGCAGCTGGAGGGTCTAAGGACATCACCGGGGTCCTTGCCGATCTTTACCACTTGCTTGCCTTTCTTGGTCCACCTTGACATAGCCACCACCGCCACCGTGATATCTGGCCTCGTCTTCGCCGCCAACCACAGCAGCGCTCCCGTTTTTGCTTGCGCCTCCTTCACCTCCTCCGGAGTGCCATCTTCGCTTTCTTCATCCGGCAGCTTGTAGGTTAACTTTTCTGTGCTTTCCTCAATTCCCCCCTTGGCTGTGAGATCCTCGGCGAAAGCCTTCTGATTGATAAGATAGCCATCATCCTTCTTGTAGATCTCGAATCCGCAGAACCGTAGCTGTACCTCACTCGTAGCTCGTTCTGCAGGTGATAGCTTCCAATTTCCTCCATGCATCCTAGCTCTCGCTGAGTGAATCACCTGTTCCTCACCCGCCAACAGCACATCGTCCACATAGATCGACATGAGACCCACCGTGAGCCCCGACTCCACCTCTACAATGTGACAAAGGTTTGGTAAGCTTCTTTCCTCCGCCATCCCATTCCATTTTTCTCACCTCTCTATCCCGATGTACACTCCAGTCCCTCGGCGAAGTGACCGGACCGTACACGGCCTTGTCGACCACCCATACCTCATCTCTCTTGGCGATGCCCAGCTCCTTCAAGATAGACGGTACCTCGATGATGACCGTCCGCCCATCCTCTCTCCTTGGCGCGTTTAAGAACGCGGTAGGGATGTCTGTACCATTATGATTTGAAGTGCATCCGCTCCACCAGCGTACACCTCATCAGCACTCTTTCCGGCTGAGAAGTTCCCGCAGACCACTCCTCTGACCTTCTTCCTTCCATCTGGCGACTTTTTGGTGCACACAGCCTTCCCTGGCAGGATTTCCACTGGGCCAGTGATGTTCTCGATTTTGCTCCTCATCATCGGTCTCACTGCCTTGCTTTCCTCCACCAGTGCCATGCACTACTTCTTTGCTGCCTCTCTCCAGTTTCTAGCTCTCCTCTCACTTCTCCCATCCTCATTGACCTGCATGGCATTCAAGGCGGCTTCTATATGTCCCCTTCGCTGGAGTCCTTCCCGAGGCCTATCCGCCCTGGGCATCAGCAAATCCGGCTCTACCTTCTCCTCCAGAACAACTTCCTTGCCCGGATCCACGATCACCTCCTCAGGTTCTGGGATCGCATCAGTCGTAGCGAAGCATCTACCATCCTCGCAGCTCCGAACCCAGTATCCTCACGAAGTTGATGAGATAGCTGCATCCGGCCCCATGATTTTCACCTTTTCTCTATCCAACCTCCAGTCTTGGTAACTCTTCTTCTTCACATAAGCGACGGGAGCAACTCCTTGACTGGCAATCCCACCGCTTTCAGCTGCCGTCGAAGCCTTCGTTCCCCCGCATGTCTTAACGCCATAGGCCACAAGGTTCCCGGCTCCTCCGCTGCCTTTAACAACGTCCTTGTTGCCCTCTTGAGAACGCCGATCTCTGCCTCCACGCGCCCATTCTCCTTGAAGGCGTCCCCTGGCACCGTAGTCTTCACGATGTTCCTGTCCTCCGCCCATCGCTTCAGCTGCGCGGCCATCAGTTCTCGGGCCCTATCCGTGTGCAGCCGGTACACAGGCAGGCCCATTTCCCGAAGCCGTGCATAGATTCGGGCGATGGCCGGCAGGACGTCTGAGACCTTACGGCTTACGGGTCTTGATCGGCTCCACAAACGTCAGGTTGGTCACTGCGACATCCTGAGCCTCATCCACCATTTTCTGCCAGATGTCCACCGCTTGAATCTCGCGATCTACTTCTTCCTCTGGTACTTGCTCTTCATCATCCTTCTCTTCCAAAACATCCATTTCCGATTTTCAATTTCCTCCGGAATGGGCTTTTTATGATGCTCCGTCAGCAAAGACCGCCCTTGCCTGTCCGTAGGATACGTGTAGACGGCAGCTACGAAGTATTCCGCCTGGCACCGCTGATCCTTCCCTGCATCCAGCCTCCCAGACAGGTCCACCGAGAGCGTGTAGGCCTGTGGGTGTTGTACCCGTCTATGAGGACGGCCTCTCCCCTGGCTCTCCACACGAGTGCGGCAATCCCGTCGTGCTGGTTGGTGGTCGCACTGAAAATGCCTCTTTTACATCTCCTTCGCCACCAAACTCAAAGGCCTGAGCGCACACCCCTCTCCACGTGGATCTTTCCAGCACGCCCTCAATGCCTTTTTGATCTCAAAGACCAATCCAGGTGCCCAAGCTGCCCACCTCTTGGTTTGCGCAGTCCTCTCTGCCAGGTCTCCCGACCAAGCTTCTCCACCTTGCCCAGGACCAGAAATCTCCCCCAGTCGACGAGCGGTTGATACTGCGAGGCTTTGTTGATCGAGACGAGGGTCGGCCTTGACAACTTTGGAATTCCTTGTCATTTGCATCGGCTCGTCTGTCTGGAGCGCAATCTATACCGGCGAGCGTCCTTTGAATCTTGGATTCTTTGAGATCTTGCCGTTCCCGGCTTGGTGTTTTGTTTTCTTGGCATTTGCTTTGGATGGCATAGTTGTGTTGCATAATAATCCGCTTTGATGTGATGGCTTCTCCCTGGTGGTTTGCTTGACTTCATAGTTCTAGAATTTGCTCCAATTTGCTGGCCTTGCGCGGCAGGCAGGGTGGTAGGGGCTGCCTGAAGAGAGCTGAATGACAAACACGGCGTTTGTGTAGGACTGGCACAATCCGGTGCACTGGCCTGGTCTGTTGGTTGGTTGGCCGACCCCAAGCAATGAAATCAGCCTTCAATCCGCGAGCTCGGACAGTGTCATTGTGTGAGCCGGTTTTGGGGCCCGCCTAGCCGAAAGAAAGAGGATTTGCTGAGCTACAAACGCCTGAGATCATCCAGGGATCAGCCACGATAGGATCCATTGCAGGGATTGCTCATCGTTGGTACTGACAGGTTGAGCCAAGTTGAGCCATGTTTGGCGCGATTCCCGATTCACCACTTGATTCTGCAGTTGGCCATCGCCGAAACGGATGGCTTCCTGTTTCCCTGAGGCGGGCTCAGAGGTCCTGACCTTCGTGTGGACCATGTGTCAGTGGGGCTCGCTCCTGGCGGCCGCGGTTCTCTACTTCGTCATCGACTCCGAGGGCCCTAGGCGGGAGGTCGGGGGAAGGGTCGGAATGTCGGGCCGTCAACGTGGACGAGCTGGATGGGTTGCCATGGGTTGGACCGGGTTGGATGTTATGAAATGTCAAAGTTGCCTGGGATGGCCTTGTTGGATTGTGAGTCCAATGCTTTCTTGAGTGCAACGACCGCTGATCAACGGCAGGGGGCTCTTTCATTGTGCCTAAAGGCATGTGATGTTTCTGAATACTCGATGGGCTGCGTGGCGATGGACAGTTGAAAGGAAGGCGGAGACCCCATGTGTGTTGAGGGAGAGGGCTTTGGATCTTCGGATCCGCGGAGCAGCTTATGTCCAGGTTTTCTTTTGCCCGGCTTTCTTTTTTGGCTGACTTGGGTCCATCTCAATGGTGCTTGGGGCACACCTTTCAGCGCTTCAGGGATTATGTAGCTACATTTGAGCGAAATGGAGCAAGGATCTCACAACGTCCCTCTCCTTTCTCGTTGTTCAACAGCTTTCAGCTGCCAGCCCATTTGGTTGCTTGAATCGTAAACATTTGCTGCCTGATTACGAGGGCGCAACATGCAACGCTGCTAGCACCTAGCTCTGCGCTCGGCGAAACAAGGGCTTGCCAGCAGTGGGCCCTGGTGACTTTCCCTACAAAAGGCTCTTCGGTTCTTAGGAGGAAGCCTCAAGGAACCGGTGGGAACATGCAAAGAGTGGCGTGCGCGGCGTGAAGGCCGGTGATCCTGGGTTGCCTTCCATTCGCCTTCGTGGCATTTTGGCGAACCTGGATGGGTGACCTACACGAGGAGCCAGCCGCTTGGCTCTCGAGCAAGCTTCTCATTGCGCTTGCCGAAGGATACCGCGGGGCACCCGCCAAAGCATTTTCAGCAAGAGGAGACATTGAGGAGAATGATTTGGCGAATGTCTAACTCCGCACGAATGGTGTTGATGAGTGATCCTGTGTGCATGTGTCACCAAACATGAGTCCAAAACACTCAGGGCAGGGCTTGCACTTTGACCTTTGGCTCACACCAGCCTGGCCAAGCAAAGGCAATGGTTGGTGGTGGCTTGGTGTTTTCCCGCAACACTGCAACATTTGAAGACCTTTGAAAGGCAGAGGGGGGAGAGTACATGTTCGCTTTCTAGGTGCTATAGAGCTTGGTGTTGGCTGCTCTGAATGGCAGGCGGACAAGTATCTAAGCTTCTGTGTATCGGACTTGCGGGAGGCAATTCGCGGCTCTGCAAATTCTTCTCATCAAGTAAGCAACATGAGAGGTAGCGCCCGCGTGCGCTAAGGCCAGATCCTGGAAGTCGCTGAGAGCCAAGGCAGTGGTGTGTGTGTGTGTGTGTGTGGCACGGGGGGCTTTTCAGGCTTGCATGGGTTTTGCCGCCGAAAGACTAGTGGTTGCCAGAGATTTTCCATATATGGGCTATCTCACATATATGGGCATGGCTTATATCTGATCCACTCAGGTTGATAAGTAGTCCCAACAAGAACATAGCCCCCTAAGAAAGCCAGTGGACCACAGGTGTGCATGGCCCAAACATTCAGCCCACTGACTCCGAAAGGAGGGTCAGGGTAGGTTCCAAAGCTCACCGGGCATTTCGTCGTCACTAGCTTTCCCCCAACAGCCTACGGAATCTGACGGTTTCGAAAGACTCCTTTCCTGAAACAGAACGGAAGGAGACTCGAAGGGGTCGCCTCTCGCCTGAAAGATATCTCGCGAGTCGCAGCACCTGACCTCAGAGCCATAGGCCTACTCAGAGCCGGAGCTCTTTCTACTGGCGCTGCTCATGGCCTGCGGCAGCCTGGTGGTTGCCTTGGCCACGGCCTTCTGGGGCCGCCAGGCATACGCACAATATGCATCAGAGAGTAGTGCACAGCCAGCTCTTTGGACTCAGTTTCTCATCTCTTTGCCCATAGAACTTTCTCCTCTTTCTGTTCATTTTTGTTTCTCTCCCTGGCAGGGCCGTCTGCTGGCTGCCGTGAGCGTGTCCGTCCTGCTGGTTGTTTTCTCCTTCCGGACTTTGCCGCGGGTGCTGGCGCGCAGCAACTCGCCACAATAGAGCAAGGCGCCATCGAACGAAGATGTGATTTGTGAGACATGGGATGGCGCGCGCCTGCTGGCGCGCATGTGCGCGCATCGCATAGTTGATCTATTTAGAAAGATTCGTTATTCGGTACATACTGGGTATGAACTTGAAAAGGGCTGCAATGCCTAGATCTTTCTATGAGGAAGCAACTTATATCCTGCAACAACCTAAGCACATTTGTGTGCAAACCAGGCTCCCGTCAGAATGTGGACACTGTTCTGCCAGGAGAGACTCTCTAATGCATTGCCGGCCTACCCTTCGCTTCCGCATTCCGGAAGCAACCACCTACCCAAGCTGGTGCCTAGTGCCAACTTCCAGTTGCAAATGTCCTCAAGTGGCCCCTCTAGCCGCCGGCATGCAGATAGAACCGCCAGTACACAGGCCAACAGCCAGGCAGGCAGGCAGGCAGCGAGGCCGGCAGGCCAGCACGCCATTGCACGCCTGCACGTCGGCACCTCGGCACACAACGCACGTATTTGCGCACTGCACCACAAGGAGGCTTTGTCCAAGCTCCGCTTGGTTTGGAACTTGTGTTGAGAGGAAGCAACAGGACACCCGCGTGAAACAAACACCTTTACTCAGACAAATCCTTAACTGCATCTCAGTTGTTTCGAGGCAACCTGTACATGTTCATCATATCCATCTCATACCTGGACCTCTCCGGACCGCTGTCATACTGGTACACAGGCGTCTCGGCACGAATCTTTGGAGCATAGGTTTTAGGCCGATTGGTGAAGTGCCAGCCCCAAAAGAGCCTTGAACAAACCCAATCGAAATACGGATACCGATCATCAAACAAGATATGTGTTTGGAATCTGCCTACTTGGACGCTGGGGAACCTGGGAAACTGGCGCTTTGATGCTACCTGAAAGGGGAACCCTCTTCCAAAAACGGGAGACACAAGGAAATAGATGAGGTAAGGGCAATGCCCGAAAAGACTGCTGCCCTAAGGGTCATGACCTCTCCAATGCAGACCCCCGGATCCTCCAATTAAAAAAAACCCGGCCAGGCAGCCGCACTTTTCGATGAGAGGATTCCACACGTGCAGCTCTCGTCAGGGACTGATGGCTGTGTACCTTCGGGCCCGCACTTCAGCTACTCCTACTTCCTGGCAGTCTCCAATGTCGTGGGGTCTGCAGGCTGGAGTCGCTGTTGCCCGGGAGCGACGGGCAAGAGTGTTGGGTTCCACAATACCCTGGCCTAGGCAAGCCCGGTTGGGGAATGGAAGGGGCGAAGGGTGCTCAAGGATCGAGGGTTGATGCAATTCATTGGCCTTGGGCTTTGTCTAAGTGCCTCATTTGCATTGCTATAGTCGGTTTCGAGACCAGACCTTACTGGCTAGCATCAACACAAGGCCCTTCGCGCCAAGCTCGAGACCTGTAAGGCAGCATGCTGGGCGCGGTGCTCTTTCAGTCTATGCAGTGCCCTGGCTGAAGTTGCAGGCTATCCGCAGCCTCCAATCCACCTCCACCTTCTCCTTTCGGCGTGTACTTAAAACCTCCGAGTTGTGGTGTATGGGGCACGAGACTCGATGGCGTGGTGGTTGCAAGGAATTTGCTACTGGTGCGATTGTAGTCATGGACATGGCGTTCGAAGCACGCCTTAGGCGTCCCAATCATGGAGACCTAACCAATAGTTAGGCATTGCCGAGTTCTTCCGTGGCTCTTTGCTAAAGTTTAAAGGCCACTAGTGGGTCCTTCTCTTAGTGATATGCGCCGCTTCCGAGCTTGGATTACTCCACTCTGTTGTCCACTCTTTGTCAGTCGACGTTTTCTTCTTGTGAGTTGTTGCGGCTCCTTTTGGCATCTGAAACATGTTTGCACACATAATGCACATGTTTGGTTGCTGTGTTCAGACGAGGGATATTGCCCTGACAAGTCATAGTCATAAACTCTCCCAGCAGCAACATAGGGGCAACCACTTCTCAGAAGAAGGTAGAGTGGAACTCTTCCAGGCCAGGTCGCTACATTTTCTGCTTAAGGGTCTGGGCGCGGACCTGCAGTTCAATCGGTGGGTTCCGAGAGCTGCCTTTGGATCCCGAGGAGCTGGTCCTTCCGCAGCGCCTTCCGCGTCACCACCTTCGTGCAGATCTCGGCTTCCCTGTCGCTAGCGCGGAACGGGGAGAGGAGTTTGGGATAGAGTTTGGGGAACTCCCGATTGAGTGGCTGGAGGGTTGTCTTTGGGGAGGTTCGTTTTGGGGGAAGTTTCGTTTTTGTGGTTTGTTTGGTAGCTGTTGCCCATGGCAGGCGTTTGGGTCTTCCCAGGCACAAAGAGCAGCTGGCGTGATGGCAGATTCACGGAATGCCGATGTACGAACTTGCAATCAAGGCATCAAGTTCTCACCCTCTCACCGCCCCACTTTGAGAATACTGATTCCCGTTTCTGTTGCACAGCCGGGGAATGGAACAGCTGGAATCAGTGGCTGTAGGAGCACTTTTCACCAGCGCGAAGCCGACATGATTCCTTTTCTGGGTTCTGAGGTTTGACCTTTTCATCATCACTCGCATGAACTTGACCCTGGGCATCCCAGATGCATTCGCCTATCTCTTTGGGGACGCAGCCTGCCAAAGCATCGCTGCCCAGAGTCTTGGTGCAGGAATGCAAGCGGGGCTCAATAGATGCATCAGATGCTCAACCGGACTCAACAGGGACACAAAAAGGGGATGCGCAAGCCAATCGAAGCCCAGAGAATTCAGAGCACTACTTGGGTGGAGGTTAAACCAAGGATCATCCTTGGCCCGCCCGCAGACACGCGGCATGTTGGCAACTAGTTGCTTTGGAACGACCAACCCTGTATTGCCAAGAAAGAGACTGGCTGGAGTCGTGAAGCTGCCAAGAAGCTCAATGAGCGGGCTGAAATGTGGCACAAGGTGAGTGTCTCATGCTAGCAGTGGGCCTCTTGGCCGGTGGCCCCTTTGAAACGTCCGCTTCGTCGCCTTGTCATCTCCAACGCCAGCGCTGAAAATCCGTATCGCCCTAGGATGATCATCATGCCGCAGGCGCTGCTGACAGCCCGGCTCTGCCCGAGGGGCGCGGAGGCCACGGTCTTTGCGATCCTCGCCGGGTTCCAGAACTTCGGGAGCAACATCGGACGGGAGGGCACAGCACCAAAGGGCATAACAGTTTAAAAGACGTGCATTTGAAGAAAATCACCGCCTGGTTTGCCAAGTGGAGCCCTGGTGCCACCGTAATTCTCACAACACAGGTCCGTTGTTGCTTTTTTCCTTCCCCCCTGTTGCAAGTCTGACTTAGCGCAGGATCCATCCTGGGAGCCCAGCTCGCAGAGACGTATGGCATCCAGTGCAGCCGCCTGGGACCCTGCAACTTCGAATCGCTCATCAACCTCATCATCTTGTGCCGAGTCTGTTGCGAGAAACTTTGGGCGACCAAAACTTTAAACACGGTGAGCATGCCACTGATACCAAAGGCCATTGTACATTAGTGACCTTGGAGCTCCCTGACCCAAGCAACACCTGAACTTGCAGTTCAAGACTGCGGACCACTAGACCAAGGAGCTTAGTTGCTTCAACATTCAGTGCGTTGGCTTTGTCCCAGGCGATGCCAGGCCCACAGATCTGGCCAGATGCCTTCCGCTCACAAGAAACTTTCAGAATGATTTCACCAAAGATAGATGAACCCGCAGGCGCCAGCTGGGCTGCAAATGGGACCCTTGCCGTCAGTTGCCTTGGGCAGAAGTAGTAAACCACCACCCCTCACTGGCACGCCTGGCACTGTCTGGCACAGCCGGCTCGCATCGGACCTCGGACCGGCTCAGGTGTCACATCCTGGCTCCAATGGCGTGCCTGTCATTCCTTTTCCTGGTCCCCACAGCCAAGATGAACGACGAGAAGGCCTTCGCCACGCTGCTCGGCTTTTTTTCCCAGCAGCTGAAAGCTTTGGGGTCTCAGCAGATAGGCTCCGGGGTGGTCCGGGGCGGCCCTGAGGTAAGGTTCTACAAGGGTTCCGCCAGAGTTCCAACAGGGTTTTACCAGGGTTCTTCGAGGGTTCCACCAGGTTCTGCGAGGGCTGCGGGGTGGTGCGAGCACTAAAAAGAGCACTGCATGCTGTTGGGTTTTGTTTGTTTTGCGAGGGTGATGGATGCACTTCAGCTGTAGACTTGCCACCCATACGCTTACCTCCCGAGGGCCTAGGGCTGACTGGGCCCTGGCTCAGGGACTCGCCGCCGCCTTCCTTTGCGTCGCCGTCGCCATCCCCGCTCAACTCTCCTCGAGTTTCGGACGCTTGGAGATATGGGTAGCTTGCGACAGCGGTTTGCTCGGATATTGAACAAGACCCGAATGGACTATTACCATGATGCTCAATGCCAAGGTGTGCATGATGTGTGTGGTAGTGGTTGGGAGAGGGGGGTGGTGCAGGGTCCGATTTTTCGACATGTCGGGTGTGTTCTGTGGTTCTTTTTCAGTTTTCCGGGAAAGTTCTCTGGAACATTGAATAGTCACACTGCTTGTCCTGTGTCTCATGGCGGGATGTGTGACTGGTACGGGTCCACTGCAGATGATGGCCCCACAGACTCAGCCCTTGGCCTGACATTCATGTGGCCATGGGTCAAACCCCCGTACCCCCAGTGAACATCCCAATCCCCACTAAAGTAGACTAAAATGGGTGGTGCACCTATCCCAAAATGGTACCAATGGTTGTGAATCATGGCCATGTAAGTCAACATACCTTGGGTCCAGTCATGGCCCTCTTCTCAATCCAGCTGGCAAGCTGCTTTGCAGTTCAGCCAGTCAAGCTGATGGGGTTGGAGGCTGCCTCTGCAGTGCCCTCTGCAGCCCCCCAAAAATATATGTCCAGCACTCTTGGCGGTGTTGAAGACCTAGATTTTTCTTTTCAACCCGTTTTCTGACCGAGCTAGAATCCGAGGGTGTGGGCCCCTGGCAATGGTTTGCACTGTTGAAAGCACCCAAATCTTCTTTCATCTCATTCTGCGCTAACTGTACATTTTGCGGCACGTTTCTTTCTTTGCCAGATAGCCTCGAGTGGGAGGCCCGCGCCCCTAGCGGGCGTTCTTTAGATTTTGCGCACTCCTTTGCATCCAAGTGAGCTCGATCCCTGAGGATCCAGACAGCCCGGAACCCGAGGGCGATGGCGCCCCTTGCCAAGCAATTGACACCAAGGTCAGAGTTGGTTTGTGCTGCTTGCAACGCCTTGCACCAGTGCTGGCAAGCAAGGAATCAGGGCATTACAGATCATGTTGCATACCTTTCAAGCAGCCCCGCATAGACGGGCCGATGTGTTTAGTATTGAGAGTCAACAAAAGGCTTCTTGTGGCCGCTTTTGCAACGGTAGCAAACTTAGGCTTATCGAGAACACGGGCCACTTCAATTAGCTAACCGAGTCCTGCCAAACATTCCTTTATTTGCATTCAGGGCATCATGAAGTCATGAAGCGACAGTGCGGCTTGGGCAAGACTGGCGGAGGTCAAGATGAAGTGCAGTAGTCGGATGTCCTGGTCGCGGGTCAAAATGCAAATCTTCCGCAGGGCTCGGCAGGAGCTTGCCAGGAGAGTTATGCATCCCGTGCGGGAGCGTAAAGCACTGTTTGCTGACACGGTTGAGGATGCTCTTAATCTGCAGGGGAGTCGCTGTTTTCTCAAAGCACATTTTTGCCGACCAAGCGCTTATGTAAAGGTGTCCTGCTTCATATCTCGATCACACACTAAGGAGTACTTCCTCCTACAAGACGACGGCATGGTGGTGCGGCAGCTTTCCGGCTGACTCAGGAATCCAGTCGCTCAACATTTGCTCTGTAATTCAGGGTAGTGTGGTAAATATAAGCCTGCACTGAAGGAAGGAATTCCCAGAATTGCGTATTTGGGGCCCAAACCGTTGACCATGCCGAGTGGATTCCAAAAGAGAGTGGGTCGGCGTGGGGCCTTGGTTTTTGAAACCACTGAAATAACGTGGTTTGTCTTCCACTAGAGTTTTAGTGGGAGCTCCTTTCCAGCTATGTGTTTTTGAATTGAAATTAGTTTGAGTAAAACAGGACATGTACAATTAGAATTATCATCTAAGATTGTGTTTTAGATAGGATTCCCTTTCCAGAGGAGGTTGGACATTTGATCAGAATCCAAATAACTGTTTAAAAGAGTACAAGTCAAGTAGTGGTTTTATCTTAAGCTAAGGCTTTAAATAGGATCTCCTTGCCATATGTGGCTTTGAATGAAAATTGACCAGATGTTTTTCAAGTGAAGTTCAATACAGAAAGAACGCACGGTTGATTCTTCTAATTAGCCTGCCCTTAAGAATGATGAGCAACTAAAAGAAACTCAAGGAACATTCAGTTTCAGTTGTATTGATTTAAGATAAACGGAGCATAATTCAAAAGTTGCCTCAATTGAGTATATATTTAAGCACTAATTGCGGTTTAGTCAACATCTTATTTGGAAAGGTGTTTATGTTGAAATCAGAGGCAGACATTCTTGCCTTACTTTGGAGTTTCTGTTTTGACAGCTCGAGGTTTTTACTCTTTTCGCAACAATGCAATAAACCACAAGTTGTCCAAACAACAAACAAAATGACAGACCCCATGTGGCACAACTCAGGATCAGGAGCCATTGGGTTTCGAACACTTTTTTGAAAAATGCAAACACCTCGAGTTGTCCAAAAAGCCAAAGCACCAAAACGGAAGATCCCACGTGGGTACAGCTCAGGATTTGGAGGAATGGGTCCACGCATTTTTCCAAGAATGCAACAAACGACGAGTTTTCCGAAGATACACAAAAACGAAACAACAATGGCAGACCCCATGTGGGCCACAGAGCTCGGGATCTGGAGCGCGTTCGTTTTGGACAACATGGGGCTTTTCACACTTGTCTAATGCAAGAAAAGAACGAGTTGACCATGGAGCCATGGGGTCTGGCATTTGTTTGCTTGTTTGGTGTTCTTGAAAACTCCAGGGTTTCGACTATTATTTTTCGAAAAACCACAGGCCCCACGACGACCCTTTCTGTTCCGAAAAGGGCCAGGCACACGGCTTGGGGTCGCTCGTAGAATCACGGTGACAATATTTGGGGAGGCAGGAACCAGCAACAGGCAGGGCACGGAGGGAAGTCAGACACTCTGAACTGCCACAAACTCTGCATCACATGCTTGAAGCACAGGGTGCAACGGTACCCCAAGCCGTGGCCAGCTTGGGACACGTTGAAGGTCGGGTAATGGCACGTCACATGCGCCTGGCACCGTTCGAACGGGCCCAAAGTGAGCGCTCTGTCATCCAAGCCCGTGGGCCTCGTTTGAACTGTTTGCCTCATATGGTAGAACCTCGCTATCAGCCTCAGCCTTTGGGAAGAACTGGCCATGGCCTGACTTGCTGAAACTTCGGTGGAGTGACATGACAAGAGGATTTTATTTGCTACTCAAGTCACACACTTTGCTTTGCCAGTTCAGAGCCCGGCTAAGAAACATACATGGAAGTGTCAACTTCAGCTGCGGCACCTGCGGGGCGCACCCTATCTTGCACCAGATGAGCGCGAGAGGCCCATGGTGTGCTTGGTTCATCGCTTGGGACTTTATTCCCATCGCAAAGTGGACAGGCCAGCAACGCTTTTCAAAAGACATTTGGTTGTGTTCAACCAATGATTTGATCTAGCTGCAGCCTGGTGGAATCCAGGTTCATGTGTCAAGCAGACGTTCCTGATTTTGCGGCTGCACAGTCTGTCCACCGCAGCACGTTGTTTTTTCTGTGCCTGCCGATTTTTTGCCCGGGACGGCGCAGGCCTGCAGACGGCCCCGAGCAATAGTCGAGGCACCACTCTGCCCCGGAGCGAGCTGAGAAAAAGCCTCACACAGGCGTGATCACAGCATCCCGGTTTGGTTTGGCCTGGGGTGATTTGTGTGCGCCATGATCAACATTGCAGAGAAGCCTTTCGGATATCAAGCGAGTAGGGCGGAGAGACTCGAAACATATTTTGCTGCAACTGCCAAGGGACAACCATTGGATACCGGTCGTTCTGGATTGTATAGTGATAGTGACCAGTGGGATCGCGTTGGCTCTTGCGTGTGGGCACAGCTCCATCGCTTGTCTTCAAAAGTCAGTTCCCAAGTCATCAGGTGGAACAACCTAGTTGCAGTGAAGCTCTTGAGCAGCATGTTCACGCGCCTGGGCCATGCTGGTCGTTGAAAACCCTGGGGACAGGTCACAGAGAAGCAAGTACGTCCATCATGTCTGGCTCAAGCGCCGTGCGCGACTCCCAAGGCGATGCATTTCCAGCGACCGCCAGCTGCGCTCACGCGACATGGGGACAAAGGTAATGAGGTTCGGAGCCCCTGCAGACCCTTGCCCCTTGGCCACAATACAATGAATGGGGTGATTACAAGAACGGCCCGGGCCGGGTGAATACGAATAACCATCCGTCTGAAGTTTTGTCTAGGTTCGCCCTCGGGTTATTTTACGCACACCTACGTACATATGTTCACACACACACGCGGGCACGCATATCACATGCACAAACTCATGCTCTCAATTTCTGCAGATAAGCACATGCAGGCAAGACCTGCGCTGGCCCGCATTTGCCAAAAGCTCATTCCCTGACGCTTTGCTTGAATTTGAGAGGCTCTCCCAGACCACAGCTCCATCCATTTGGGAGTGAGGGAGTGATGTTTCAGCTTTTCGCATGAGTCAGGAGGAGTGGTTTGACTACCGTCCAGGACCCTCACCTCGCCCCTGATGTTGGGGTTTCCTTCCAGGTTGGCGCCTGGCCATAGTTGCACCAATCCATCAGAAGCGCACACACACACACAGATGCACTCCGAGCAAGTCACCCGTTGCAGCACCACAGCTATACAGGAATCGCTTGCCCAAGCCTTGGCTGGGCGCATGGAGAAGCTGTCATGGGACTTGCTGGAGAAGGCTCGCAGCCGAGGCGCGGATCGTCGGATCGCGGGTCCACTGAGATTGGAGGCTTCGACGTAGAAGGTATGGAATGTATAGAATGTATACATGCATGACCTACCTGCATGCATGCCTGCCTGCCTGCCTACCTACCACCTAGATCCGATTGTATTGCACGGCAGGAAATGAGCAAAATGTCAATCTTTGGTCCAGCAGGTCTATATTTTTGAGGTACTCTGAGGCAACTGACCTTGGTTACAAACGTTTGGACAGACATGGGCTCATTTTTTGAGGAGGCTGGACACATGTGACCGACATACATGCAAGTCGTGCAACTCCCGTGAATCAGCCCGTTGCATTTCTCAGGCAGCTGACATATGCGCAACATGTGTTCATGGTGGGATGCCCCGGCTGGCTTCCTTCAACAATCCTTCTAGCCATGTTGACCATGCTATTTACAAGCGTTTTCTAGAGGATCCCCTTCTGACGCAGAGTGGTTTTGGATGTGTCCTCTCAGGAAGCTTGTTGTGCTCTGATTTCAAAAGTATTGCAGGGGGATGCCTCGTATTTGTCAGCTCCTTCTAGCGTGATTCAGATCCAGACTTTCAGAGGCATTTCGTGCCATGGCACCTCCATGCTGCAAACCAAGAACAGGACATCTGCCGACACCTTGCACGTGCAGCCGCACCAGTTGGTTTGCTCAGTCGTTGCGCCTGTCTTCGGTTCTGGGGGCTTCGGGTTTTGTATCGGCACGGGTTTTGCCAGGTGGCCGATGGCTCGTGGAGCAGGCGGACAAAGGTCGGCTGGCGGGATCGCCCAGATACGTGGCTTCTCTGACGAGACTCGGTCGTGAGATTGGTCAAATGCGCTTCGGCCGTGCCCCATTCGGAAATCAGTTTTCGGGAGGCGGGCCATTATACCGAAGGTCTGTTGAAACTCCCACATAGCGTGAAACCACTTGGACTTTCGTTCATGGACAGAAGGACATGGGATGACGTTGGCTTGTATGCCAAGCGTCATGGTAAGATTTATTCCTTCCTGGCTTGTCTCAACCGCAGTTCCTTGGAGCTCCTAAAAACCGGTATTCAAGCCTAGTTTGACGCTTGCCAGAGCCTCCCTGTACAGAGGCGCAGATAAAAATATTCTGGAATGAATGAGAGGGAGCCACTGGGGGTATGTGCATTGCATGATGTGTTCTACCTTCATGCTGCACTCAAGCCATGCCCGGCCGTCCCATTCTCAGGTCCAGATTTGATACCGGGATGGCCATTATCCACACCTTTGGGGGGGCAGGTACCCTGTTTGGGTTGTTTTGAACGGAAAATCAAGGCTTTGGGGGTTCCCTGAGGTACAAGAGCCAAGAGTCCAAGAACCAAGAACCCACCGGATTGCAAGCGCCATGAGGTGGGGGAGCTTCTGCCGCTGCGGCGTTTGGCCAGGGCCTTGGGAGAAGCGGGATGTGTGGCTTGCCCTTTTCTGTGCAGTCTGCACACCTCCCGGCAAAAAAGAACTTGTGATATGCAGCAATGCAGAAGCTCATTTTGCTGGTCTTAGGTGTTTGGCAAGCTTATCACCGTGTCACTTCAGCGAGGGTGTGTTGACCTTGCTGGTGCTTCAGCCCAGCACCCATCAAAGTGTGAAGGAGTTTTTGCCGAACAAGCTGCTTTTCGGACCTTGGTTTTTTACCCAGCGGAGAGTCCAATCAGCGCAAGACTAGGGGTCCATGGACTGGCTGTTCGGGGCCTTGGGATGAGCGAAAGGACAGCGGCACCAAAACTTGTGCTGGAACAACATACAATGATCCTGACTGCGAGGCTTCTCCAGAAAGATACAATGTTTGGGAGCTGCCGAACTCCACCCTTCACCACGCACATACATATACACATCACCGGCACTGCCAATTCTCACATGTCCTTCTTGGGAAACAGTCAATCTCAAGTAACTGCAGAACAAAAGCACTCATTTGGCTCATTCCAGTTGCGTGCCTGAAACCTGAAGCTGCGCAGAAGAAGTCTAGCTGTTTTACTCATGACAAGCTCACTTGGCCGCGCCACTCCGCTTCTTGACATTTGGGCTGTTGAAGCTGAGATCCCCCTTTGTGCTCTCCGCCTCATTTTGTGAGTCTCAAATGAGTGAGTTGGACCGCCGGCTCGCTCGCGCCAATTGGCAAGACATCGCACTCACCCCGAGGCCTGGATCCGGATGCTAGGCGTGGGGCGTGGGCGTGGGGGCCGTCGCTTGTGCTCGAGCAGTCATTTTCGCCCGATGGTCAGACCTTTGGAGGGCCCTGAAAAATCAGGTCCACGGTCACAGAGAGTAACTCCAGACCTCTGGGGCAAATGGGTTCCGTCTCTCTGTCTCTAATGTCTTGTTGCCTGCAACAGCTTGAAGCATGCCCCGAAGCCGCGCGACCCACCTGCCTGACTTCAGCTGAATGGGTTCAGGTGTTGTCACTGGCGATAGCCTGGAGAGATGGCCAGAGGAGCTGGACGTGCCAGGAAGCCCATGCTTCTTTCGTCTGAAGTGGTTGGCTCTTGGCCTTGGCCCCCCTCAACTACACCGCCCCCTAAATTCAGATTAAGTTTGCCTTCCCCTCCTGCAGTGTGTCCACTGCTCCATGTAATGGAATGTGATGCAATGGCATGTAAGTCTAATGTAGCGTAAAGCAATGCACAACAACAATGTATTGCAGTGCATTGCGTTGCGTTGCAGTGCATTGCATGCCATTGCATTGGACTACATTGCATTGCAGTGTCGACGCACGCACATACGTACTGTATGTATGTCACGTCAAGCCACGCCATCTCATGTGATGTCGTGTAATGAAATGTGAGATGTGTAATGTGATGCGATGAGATGTGACGTGACGTGATGTTTGTTTGGAGAGCTTGGAATATTGTGTTTGGGACTGCACATAGAGTTAGACCAGACCTTGCCCATCTTTTCTCTATAAAAAAACCTAGGCCCCCCCCCCACACTTTTAGCAACATTTTAAAACAGCACCTCAAAAAGCACATTTTCAAAAATCAACATTTCAAAGCAGGTAATTTCCTAGTAAGTTCATCCATATTTTAAAATATAAATTTTAAAATATAAATTTTAAAAAATAAATTTTCAAAAAAATATAAATTTTTAAAAAAATAAATTTTACAAATTTAAAAAAAAAAAAAAAAACAATTAAAAAATAAATTTTAAAAAATAAATTTTACAAAATTTTAAAAAATAAATTTTTAAAAAAAGAATAAAAAAATAAATTTTACAAAAAAAATAAATTTTCAAAAACATATTATTCCAAAAATTATGATAAATTATTTTACAATAAATTTTATCACAACTTTTGTAGACATATTATGGGCAAGGTCTGGTTCATTCAAAATGAAATATCTCATAAACATAATTATTCACATCATCTTCATCAATATAAATGATATCATCTCCAAGCAAAGCAAAAATGTATCCTTTCAAAAATATCATAAGTATGTTGATTGGATGGTAATAGTTATTTCTAAATTTGTATGGTGTCATTAAATATTCAATACAATAATCTGGAACTCGTCTTGCATTTTGTTTGTTATAAACATTTTCAAGCACACAATGAATGAGGAGCAAGTTTTTTTTAGCAAATGATTTTATCGCTAATCGGCACTGTTTATCTGTAAAGCTTTTTTTCACATCAACAGCGTCAAATAATTTGTCAATTTCTTTCTTCAATACCCTGTCATCATCCGATATAAAATCATATGTGAGAGGTTTTTCGTTGTGCTTTGAAAACCAGCGTAATTGATATTCTATTTTGCTTAAACCATCTCCATATAGTGCTTTTATTCTATGAATAAACTGTTCTTCCTGTGATATCATATTAGAACACTTGGCGCAATGTGGGTAATAATTACTAATAATATAACAAATTTCAATTGGTATTTTCTGTCTTAAAGTGAATGTATCCCTTTTATTGATTTTACAGTTTTTACAGTTGTTATAATTGAATAGCATTATTTCTATTAATATATATAATTAGTATTTATTTAAATACTTTGTTACAAGAATTATTTATATTTTAATTTTCAACAATTACATATTTACCATCATCGCCCTTAATAATCTTATAGTATTCTAATGTTTGTTCTTTTGGACTTTTGATTTGTCCCTTATTTAACATATCGCAATATTTTTTACGCTTCGTGTCATAAATCACCGCTGGGTCTGCCTATCCCTTTCTTTTCAAAGATCTTATCAATCTTTTCCTTCTCTTCATTGTTATTTTTTGGTTCGTTTGCCTTTGCATCAAGTTTCTGGTCAATAGTTTTTATCATCTCGTACAACAGTTTAACATTTTTACTAACTGTCATTATCTTCTTTGATAGTTCAACAATAACATCATTTTCAACTTCAGACATTTCTATATATATTTATTTATATAATTATTTATTTAAATATTTATTTATTTATAAAATTGATTTAATGTAAAATCTACTCTTTAAGTACTAAATTTTCATCATTTGTTTAATAGTTTCCTGTGCTTCGTTATCACCATTATCGGATGGCGACGCATGCCTCCCCCATTTAAAAGTTATATTATGAACATCCGTTTCCAGATTTATACTGTCTTTGGTTTTATCAATATTCATTTTCTTATCGTTTTTACTCAATTTGAAATTTGTCGGAATACACGAACATTTACAATTTCCTTTCTTTTGTATTTCTATTTCATTTTTCATTTCTAACATCTTTTTACACATAGGACACTCAAACTCGGTTAGTGCTGTTTCCTTAACAATTTCTTCTTCTTTGTCTTCATCTGTTGAAGAAACTGTAGTATCCGTTTTATTCTTTTTGTTTTTCTTTTTTCCCATTTATATTAATATTTACATTTTTATTTTTGATATATTGTATTCCTAATTTTATTAATTCTAATGTATAAAAGCATACTTTCTTACATCTGTTGTCAGTTATTATCACTTGTTCTATATTCTCTACTTCATCTATTATATCAATATAATCTGAATAACTTCTATCCATATTAAATAATAAGATAAATTATTCTAATTAATCTTATTATTTCATGCATAATAGAATATTGGTGGGGCACAGCACTTGGGTTTTCATTGCACACGCGAGCAAGACACAAAACTAATTATCTTCAATGCTTATTGATTGAAGCAATGGAAAACCTGTTCCATTATGTTATTCACCGCCACTCATAACATAATGATGTTCCATTTAATATTAATTACAAGTTAATTTTTAAATATAATTTTCTATATTTCTTTAATATCAACTATGACAGATGTCCCAATAATAAAACCAATAAACATAACTGAATATGAATTCAAACAATCTAAATATGAGCACGTGCCAAAATTACCATTTAGAAGTATTATAGTTGCGAGTTCGACGGGAGGCAAAACAGTTTTAGTTCAGAATCTTATTTTAAATGTTTATAGAAATTCATTTGCAAGAATATTTATATTTTCCCCCAGCGTTCATAATGACCCAACCTTTACAGAAGTTAAAAAATACATCAGGGATGAATTGCACGTAGATGATGAAAAAGAACAAATATATTTTGATAATTATAACCCAAGTGATTTAGAAAATGTAATTGAAAGACAGAAGAAAATAATTAATTATATGAAATCTAAAAAGATAAAGAAACTGCATTCAATATTAATCGTTATAGATGACCACGCAGACGATCCTAAATTTGTTAGATATAGTAAATTATTACATGGATTATTTACAAGAGGCAGGCACGATGCAGTAAGTGTAATTTGTTCAACACAAAAATATAATGTTTTAGCGCCTATCATTCGTTTAAATGCCAGTTCATTATATATTTTTAGGTTGAAAAATGCAAGTGAGTTAATGAGTTTTATTGAAGAAAATAGCGCCATTGTTGATAAACAGCAATTATTAGATATGTATCATCAAGCCGTTAATGACGCACCTTATAGTTTCTTCTACGTGAATATGAATGCTAAGGACATTAACAAAATGTTTCATATCAGATTTGAACAGGCGTTTCAAATTACGAATGATGAATAAAGATATTCTAATTTAATATAATATAATAATATGTCAATGAAACTATGTAGATGTGGTGGATTTTATCGTAGAGGTAATTATAATTTTCATACTAATTCTTGGATACATAAACTTTATAAAGTATTGAAAAGAAGGGCAACAGACGAGGAATTATTAAGATTTCAAAATAATTTTGTTGATGAAGAAGATTTAATAGATGATATATGTAGCAATGCATCAACGAAATTACCCGATAGTGAAATGACAGATTATGATAGTAATCAATAATATTAATTTGTTTTAATATTATTAATTTAAAATAATGAATAATTACATAATTGAACAGGTAATTTATATATTAATTTGTCAGATTTTTCTTTCTCTAGTTTCTCAATTCGTGCCACACATTCTTGAAGAGATTTAATAATTAAAGTGTCTGCTCGTGTTTTTTCATCTATACTTAAATTCTTAATGTCTTCCAAACTATTATTTTCATCATTTTTACTTTGACCAATACCCATTATATATAATATTATTTAGATTTTAATTTTTCAAAATAGTCTTTTTGTTTTTCTTCTCCGTCTTCTTCTTCGTCTTCAGTTGGTGCTGGTATTTCTGTTGGACTTTCAGATGAAGAACTATGAACAGTAATAGGTGGAGAACTATGAACACTAATAGCTTCATTTGATGAATTGCTACTGCTACCTTGTGCATTTCCTGCTGTTATTTGATTGACTAAATCTGCGATATTTATAGTTGTTGCAATTGCGCTGTGCGATAAGTTTAATATGATATCTGCTACTGTAGCGCCGTTGTGTAGCATTATTTCTATCATTTTTGTCAGTTTGAACTTCTTTTCTTCTTCATCGCTGTCATCCTCATCTGGTGGTTTCTTTGGCGGTGGTTCTGGCGGTTTGTTGTTGTCGAGCATTTTAGTAAAGGCTGACACCATCGCGTCGCGTTGGTTTTTCAGTGTTTGTGTTGCGTGTGTTCTTGTTGGTTCATTTCTCTTGTGTGTGTTGTGCCAAAAGTTTTTAAGCATTATTTTAAACATATTGTCTTGGTTTTCCTTTACCTTAAACGCTTCAAATGTCATATTTAATGGTTGATTTGCATCATTGTATAACTTTTCTTGAGTCTCTCTGGTTTCTGTGGCGATTGTATCTGTGTTGGTTGCAATGTCAATAAACTCTCTCGGCGTGCCCTTTTTCATCAATTTCGGTGGTTGTATTGTTGTTGAAGTGTTTGGTTTTGTTAGGTTATGTATTGTAAAACTGTCGTGATCATATTTATCATTGAACTTTTGCTTCTTTCTTTTCAGTATGTTTTTAGTTAATATTATCATTATAATTATTTATATATTATTTCTTTCCTTTACCCTTAAAACTTGCCTTGAGTTCTTCTATTCTACCTTTGCCTAAATTTACTATCCACCCGCCATTATCAATAGTGTCTAAAATCATATCTGT